TGAAGAACAGATTTGATACATTACACTAAAGACCGAAGACCAGAAGAGTTGTGGGATGACATCAAGAACATCATACAGGAAGAAAGCAAAAAGTCATTGAGAAGACAAGAAAGAAGGAAAAGATCAAAATGGATGTCAGAAAAGACTCTGAAACTTGCTCTCCAGTGTAGAGATGCTAAAGCAAATGGAAGAAATGAAGAGGTACAAGAGCTGAACAGAAAATTTCAAAGGTCAGCCCGAAGACAAACTCAAATATTATAATGAAATGTGCAAAGACTCAAGAGTTAGAAAACCAAAAGGAAAGAACACGTTCAGCATTCCTCAAGCTGAGGGATCTGAAGAAAAAATTAAATCCTCAATTTTCAATGTTGAAGGACTCTCTGGGCAAAATATTGAATGATGTAGAAATCAACAAGGGAAGATGGCAGGAATACACAAAGTCATTGTACCAAAAATAAATAGTTGGTGTTCAATCATTTCAAGAGGTAGCATATGATCAAGAGCCAGCGATCCTGAAGGAAGAAGTCCAAGGTGCATTGAAGGAATTGGCAAAGAACAAGGCTCCAGGAATTGATGGAATACAGATTGAAATCTTTCAACAAACTGATATAGCACTTGAGGCACTCACTCATTTATGCTTAGAAATTTGGAAGACCTGGCCAAAAGACTGGAAGAGATCCATATTTGTGCTCATTTCAAAGAGAGATATCCCAACGAAATGCAGAAATCATCAGACAATATCATTTACACATGCAAATAAAATTCTGCTAAAAGTAATCTAAAAATGACTGAAACAGAGAACTGCCAGAGGTACAAGTCGGATTCAGAAGAGGCCGTGGAATGAGGGATAGCATTGCTGATACCAGATGAATCTTGGCTGAAAGCAGAGAATATCAGAAAGATGTTTACCTAGGCTTTATTGACTACGCAAAGGCTTTCAGTTGTGTGGATCATGACAAGCTATGGACAACATTGAGAAGTGTAAGTATTCTGGAAAACTTCAGTGTGCTCATGAGGAACCCGCCATAAAATGGACAACACAGTGGGGGGATATAAAGAACAGATATTGATCTTCTCACAGTTCTGGGAGTGAAAAGTCCAAATCAGGGCTTTAATCATTGCTGGCTCCTTTCTTTTCAGTAATCCAGTGTGCTCCCTGACTGAGAGATGATCCTAACATGGTCTCTTACTTTTTTTTTTAGAAAAAAAAGTAAAAGCTGTGTCCCCCCCTCAACAGTCCCAGATCCCCCTTCCATCCTGTTGTGATTTCTAACATGATTTCTGCCCCCCTGGCTTGAGGGCCTCTGGGACTCAGTGCAAACAGTGTGTTGTTGCCTGGCCCCCAGCCCCAGGATAAGGAGAGAAAACAGAAGATTCACCTTACCGTGTGCTTTTCCTGCCTCAGTACCGCATCCAAACGCAGCAGGTCTTTCAAATGAAGGTTGTAAACACACAAGTTAATGTCTACACTGAAAAATAAAAAGACAGACAAGACTTGCAGTGAATCTGCAGTCAGGGATGAGGGTTTGGAATGTTGGCACACTTGGGTTCAATACAGTTCATAGTCCTCTTGTTTCCAGGTATGCGTGTCTGCAGTGTGTTGATGTTCCCAACAGGATGGGGTGGTGGTGGATGATATGTTGAGGCGCTCCTGTTGGCGCTATGGTTAAAGTGCTCGGCTGCCAATCAAAAGATCAGTAATTTGAGCCCACCACCTGCTCTAAGAGAGAAAAGACACAGAGGACAGCCTCGGAAACCCTACGGGGAAGTTCTACTCTATTCTAGAGGGTGTCATGAGTCCGAATCACTTGAAGGCAACAAGTTTGGTTTCCGGCTTTTAATGGTCAAGAGGAGCCCTAGTGGTGCCATGGTTAAAGTGCTCAGCAGCTAATGAAAAGGTCGGTGGTTCCAACCCACCAGTCTCTCCACAGGAGAACGATGTGACAGTCTGCTTCTGTAAAGATAGTTGTTATTGTTAATTGCTGTCAAGTGGGTTCCAGCTCATAGCGAGCCTGTGTTGGTTTCCAAAGAGTGTCTGGTGATTTTGAACCACCGACCTTGCGGTCCAGTGCTTTATCCCACAGTGCCACACCAGGACTCCTAGGTGGCAGTCCTCCTGTTTCACAGGGTCACTGTGACTTGGAATCAATTCCATAGCAGTGGGTTCTATGATGGATTGTTAGGGTTAGAACAGGGAGAGAAGGCGGGTGTGTGTGTGTCTCAAGTCACTCTCGGTAGGAGCTGTCTCTGCAGGAAACAAGGCAACCTCAGCAGAGAGGAATTTCTGAGAGGAAGGGTGGGGGAGAGAGGAGGCTGTCAGAAGAAATAAAGTTAGTTAATAATAAGCTGAAACCAGAAAAACAAGACTCAAGGAAACCGTATATGAACCAATTCCCCAGATCAGCCTTCTTGGGCATCTGAACCCACTCCCTTGATAGTTTGGCCCTAGAGTCAAACTGTATTCGGGGCTCCTCTTCCTTCACAAGGTGGATGCCTGTCCCCACCTCTCTGTAAGGACGTCTATGCTTAATAAACCTGTCTTTCATTTCCCTAAAACTCTTGACTTTCTAACTTCTTTTGTGTTGAGTAAATGTGCGACATCTTGGCAATTCTTAGGAAAGACAGCGGCACTGTTCCGGGGAGTACTGTTCAGCCACTGTTCCGGGGAGTACCGTTCAGCCGTGACTATATGACAAGATGAGATGAGGTGATATCCCACCCAAGGTTTATAAGTCAGAATCAAATGAGCTACGAGACACCCGTTACTGACCAGCATGGACAGACAGTGAGAGAGAGGCGAATCCCACATGGTATGAGATAAACACGTCAGGAGTCTGGCTCTGACACTGGGCTGCTGTGTGTCCTTGGCTGGGTCGCTTAACCTCTCTGAGCCTCCATTTCCTCCTCTGACAATGTTATGAGCCACCAGCAGGTTCAGAGAGTCAGACACCCTAATTTTCCTCACTGCCCTCTTCCTCTGCACAGGTTAGCACCTGGGTAAGGTGTGTACTCTCCCCGCCCTCCCCCCGCACCTTACCTCTAACAGGTCAGCACCTGGGGGAAGGTGTGCAGCCCCCTCCCCGCCACACTTTCCTTACCTTTCACAGGTCAGCACCTGGGGGAAGGTGTGCACTCGGAGGAAGGTCCGGCTAAGGAACCTGTCGTCGCTGGTGGCTGAGTGGATGCTGGATGAGGAGCTGCCGTCCTTGCCTGCCTGGCTCAGACTCCCCAGGCTGCTGGCTGGGGAGGCCTCCATCGCCTGGTTCGGCAGAGCAACCTGCTTCAGGTTTTCGTGCAAAGACGGGTTGGAGGAGCCGTCGGCGAGAGGCTGCGGCAGAGGAGAGTCATGTTCGGTTCACCCAGGCGGCTGATGGAGGGGGTGTCGCGGGTTGGTCTTTGTCTGACTTACGTAATGCTCACGGGGAGAAGGGGAACAGACTGGTGATGGGTGGGTGAGCAGTAAGAGCTTCCGCCCCAGGGACGCTGGCAGCAGTTTGCCCTCAGCCCTGGCACTCCTGCCCCTAAGCTATTACGCAGCTCTGTTCGCTGGGGGTCACTTCCTCCACCTCTCTGTGCTGGGCCTGCCCCGTCCACTTAGATCCCTGATGCTCGCCTGGGCTCCTCCATCTCCACAGATTCAGCATCACCAGCCTGCCCATGGCCTTTGAGGTGGCCCCCACAGCTGTAGGCCAGGCTCAAAGCTCTTGGACAAGGGAATTGATCCCCCAGGTGTGGCCACTGGACACAAGGTAAGAGCTAGTACCTGTCATGGCCAGAGCCTCTGCCCAGACCCTAAGATGCAGCGTGACTCTAGACTACCTGGTCGCTGCCCCAGACCCTTCTCACTGTCTCATCCTCTGATCTTCCCAGACCTGGTTCTCGGCCCCAAACGCCTTCCCCTTGGGGCCTGCTGTGTTGGACAGTCCATTCTCCCCACAGAGACCCCATCCGTAGCTTTCCCTCTGCCCAGGCCCCTGCTGATTCTCTGTCATGTGCTGTCTTATTGTAAGGGCTCTAGGGTGTGACCCTTAATGGGTCTCCGAGGGGTCCTGGTGGTGCTGAGGGTTAGGTGCTGAGCTACTAACTGCAAGTTCTAAACCCAGCTTTCTGGGAGAAAGATGAGGCTGTTTCCTTCTGTAAATACTTATAGCCTTGGAAACCATATTGTTGTTAATGCTGTCAAGTCAGTTCTGACTCATAGCAACCCTGTATAGGGCTTCCGAGAACCGGCTGGTGAGTTTGAATTGCTAACTTTGAGTCAGAATCAACTCTACAGCAGTGGGTTTGGTTGGTGGTAGGAAGTTGGTCTCCAGAGCCCACCAAGGGGCAGCGTGTGGAGCAGCTGCACCAACACCCCTAGCTCAGGAGTTCTGTCCCTTTATCCACCTGTTCAATAGCTAAGCCAACGAAGAGGTCCCCAGTGTGTGCTATGGGGGACAGCTCCATGAACTGGAACCAGGCACTCCTCATTAACAGGGGCTCCATTGGGGAGACCCTGACTGGGAAAAGCTAGCTTAACTACCATGAAACCATCTCTCCAATGAAAGGGTTCTCTGAGCCTATGGTACTCTGGGTCCCCAGGTCCCTGAGTATGTCTCAGTCAGTTGGAACAGGTGCACACAGTTCTTATTTACGCTTCAAGCCTTTTCACTGAAATCTACATGTGCAGCCGACGAAGGTGACGGATGCAGAATTTGTGCCAGGAAGTCCTGGTGTGGCGCTGTGGGTTCATGCGCTGGAATGCATGGTCAATTTGAACCACGAGGTTGGCGGTTCAAGATCACCAGCCACTCCTCAGAAACCCTATACAGGGTCACTATGAGTTGGAACTGACTCGATGGCACTTAATAACAACAACAAAGGGGTGGTTCAGTCATTTCCAAATGAAGGCAAATTCACATCACACTAAGGACACACAAGTTGTCCGTAAGCCAGATGTTTGCAACCCAGGGACTATGGTGGTGGTAGCGTGTCATGGAGTCAGTTCCAACTCATAGAAACCTCATAGGGTTTCAGAGGTTGTTAATCTTTACAGGAGCAGAAAGCCTTATTTTTTCTCCTGAGGAATGGCTGGTAGTTTTGAACTTCTGATCTTGAGGTTAGCAGCTTGACTCATAAACACTATGCTACCAGAGCTCCTTAGGGACCTATTATAATCATTTAATAAACCTTCCAAGCGCTGATAAGTGCCTAGCCCTTCAGTCTTGCACACCTTGCTCTAGACCCTGTACCCAACCATGAGAGGGAGGAACCTCACTGTCCCCACGTCACAGGTGAAGAAACTGAGGCCTGAGTGATGGACCAGACTGAGCACGGAGGCCGAGTAATTCCAGAGCCAGTCCGCTTCGACACCAGGAGTGGAGGCAGCGTTCTCCTCTCTTTACCTGACCAGGTACCTCACTGTTCACACATCAGCTCCTAGACAGAGAACAGATCCATATCTGACTGACTTCCAGCCACAGGTGTGACTTCCTGGCTTAAGGTGTAACATCTGGAGCCAGGTGCCTGGGTTTGACTCCGGCTCTGCCATTTTCTGCTGTGTGGCCAAGGGAAGTCATTAGCCTCTCTGGGCCTCATCAGTTCCTCAGTTTCCTTATGTGTAAAGTGGAGTCCTGAAGTGGCGCTGCAGGAGAATATGAGTTGGAACCGACTCAAAGGCACTTAACAACAACAACAAAAGTGGAGACAGTGATGTTAGATTCCTTGTAGGATCATTGCGAGGTACGAATGCTTTCCTGCAGTTCTGGGGCAGAGGACGGATGTAGTCACTTTGTCAGTGGTGGTGGTTATGTGCCGTGGAGTTGGTTCTAACTCATCGTGACCCTTTACGGGAGCAGAAAGCCTCATCTTTCTCCCGCCGAACAGCTGGCAGTTTCAAACTGCTGACCCTGAGGTTCACAGCCTGATTCGTAACCACTACGCTAGCAGAGTACATTCACTTTGTCAATATCAGTTCTTCTATCAGTGATGAAAGAACAGGGCAGGGTTGGCAGACCCTTCTGTGCTGCTTCGCCCCCTGGTGTCCCCGGGGACTACAGAAATGATGGTAATAAACATGTATCTATTAGAGACAACACTGTTATAAAATGATCAACCCTTACTCTGGGCTCCATTACAAAGCCTCAAAATGAACCCTATTAAAATGCCACAAAGCTCTCAAACAAGACCCAAAAGTGTGCATCCCATCTCCCACTCCCACCTCAATCTCTAGTGCTCTGCGGAACAAGTGAAATTTCTATCCCTGAGCACGGAAGGGAAGGAACGCTCACCCGGAATTTCTGATTGATGGGGTAGACGACTTTTGCCTTCAGTGCAAATGCTGTGATGTTGCTGTTGAAAGACGGCTCACCTTCCTGGGGAGACAAGAGAATGAGTGTGGTGGGAGGTTCCTGTGCTGGAAGAGGGTCATATGCCACTTGTAAGAGTGGCTTCAGGAAGGGGCTACAACAGGCATGATAAGGAAGATTTCACTCGTCAGAAGGAGAGATGGAAGGTTATGGAATGGATGAATGGATCAGTGAATGAGGGTGATGGATGGATGGGTGATAGATGGATGGTTGAAGATACATGAATGGATGGATGATGGATAGATGGTGACTGGATGGGTGGTGGATTGATGGATGAGTGGATGGATAGTTAATTGAAAGGACGGATGGTTGATTGGATGGATATGGATAGATGGGCTGTAGATGGATGGTTGAAGATAGATGAATGGATGGATGATGGATAAACAGATAGGTGGGCAGATGGGTGAGTAGATGGATGGCTTCATGGATGGATGGTTGGTTGGTGGACAGATGGTGAATAGATGGATGGTGGATAGATGAATGGGTGAATGGAAGGATGATGGGTGGATGGATGATGGATAAATAGATAGGTGGGCAGATAGGAGAGTAGATGGATGGCTTCATGGGTGGATGGTTGGTGGACAGATGGTGAATACATGGATGGTGGATAGATGGATAGGTAGACAGATGAATTGATGATTTATTGGATGTATCCGTGGTGGATGGGTAGATGGACAGATGTATAGATGGATAGGTGGACAGTTGGGTGAGCAGATGGATAGTTTGATGGAAGGATAGCTAGCTGGTGGTCAGATGATGAATAGGTGGCTGGTGGCTGGATTGATAGACGGATAGGTAGATAGATGAATCGATGATTTATTGGATGTATGCGTGGTGGATGGATAGATGAATGGGTGAATGGATGGATGGTGGATGGACAGATGTATAGATGGATGGTTGGACAGTTAGGTGAGTAGATGGATAGTTTGATGGAAGGATGGATAGCTGGTGGTCAGATGATGAATAGGTGGATGGATGGATGGGTGGTAGATAGTTAGATGAATGGGTGGATGGATGGATGGATGAGTGAGTAGATGGATGGTATGATGGACGGACACATGGTTGGTGGTCAGATGGTGAGTAGGTGGATGGTGGATGGTTGGATGGTTACAGAGATGAATGGATGATTTATTGGATGGATGGTTGTGTGGTGGATGGATAGATGAATGGGTGGGTGGATGGATGGGTGGACAGATGGGCTGAATAGATGGATGCAGGTACAGTAGTTGGATGGATGGTTGATCGAATAGACCAATGGATGGAGAGATGAATGCATGGGTAGATGAAAAGGTAGATGAATGGATGGATGAAAGAACAGATGGAAGGATGGATTGTTGTTGTTATGTGCTGTGGAGTCAGTTCCGACTCATAGCGATCCTGTACAGGGTTTCCAAGGCTGTAAATGTTTATGGGAATAGGAAACCTCATTTTTCTCCCACTGGTAGTTTCAAGCTGCTGACCCTGAGGTTAGCAGCCTGATTTGTAACCACTACGCTACCAGAGCTCCTTGGAAGGATGGATAGAAGCTACCAAAAGAGAATAATACAGTTTTCATTTACTTCTAATTCTTCAGCTTTGGGAGAAATAAAGATTTGAATAACATGACAAAAATTAACAAGAGTCTTTCTAAAAATTGTGAATCACCTTTTAGTGGAAAAATCAAACCACAAAATAATTTCAACATTGTTAGGGTATACGCAGGTACAGTGACGATGTATGTGTATGGGGGCTTCAACAAGTTTGTGGAAACCGGAACCCAAAGAAAATGGAATTTCCCCACAAACTTGTTGAAGCCCCTTGTACATGAAAGATTAGACCCTTACATAAAGATAAGTAGTGGGGCCAGTTTTAATTTTTTTTAATTCTTGTAAAAATATATGAAAGAACACTTTCCAACTGAAAATTTTTCACATGTACAATTCAGTGATATCGATGACTTTAATCACACAACCATTGCAGTGAGTTACAAAACCATCACCAAATAAGTATGCAACCATCATCAATATCGATGGTGCGTGGGCAGTTGTTTAGTTTTTCAGAAGCTCGCTCTTCCCAGAGACAGAACAGATGTGGAATCCCCCCTGACTCTATCACAGAGCAGACAAAACAAACAGCTGAGTTGCTGGAACAGAGGTGAAGCTACGCAATGGGTAGCTATGAAGCATGGTAGCAGCAAGCTGCTCAGGAACGTCTCCAAGAAGCCTTCCCTGAGGCAGCCAGATGGACATGCACATAACCTGCCCTACATGCCCACATCCTGTGCACCTGTCTCCTTTCAGAGTGGCCCTGCAGGTCTTTGCAAAGTCAGAGCTGAAGAAATGCCCTTGAAACAGCCGTTTTCACGTGAATGAAGACTGGGAGATGGGCCAGGAACCTGACACTCTAAACCATAAGAAATCTCTACTCAGTTGCTCCAAACAAACTGACAGATGACAACTGTATCTAAGTCAATTTCAGTGCTTTTCACCTATGTCTTAACGCAAGAAGTGATTGATTCCCAATATGTTGATTTCACCTTGGAATAAGACACCCTAACACGAAGAATGCAAAGGATTTTATGTGTTCTGCAACATGGGGCATTTAGACAGCAACGACTGAGGGGCAACACAAGAGAGTTTCACCTTGATGTTGCTCTGAACAGCGCAGGGAGAGAAGCTATACCGTTGACTTGCAAGATCAGATTTAGCTGGCAAGAGTGGAGACAGACCAGAACATGGGTTACCTCTGTCTTGGTCTCCCTGGGGTGCTATCACAAAGCACTATAACCCGAGTGGTTATAAGAACCAACATTGATTCATCTCCCAGTTCTGGAGGCTGGAGTCCCAGATTAGGGTGCCAGAGGGTTGAGTCTTTCTGAGGCTCTGAGGGAGAATGTGTCCTAAGCCTTTTTTCGGGCTTCTGGCGATGGCTGACAATCCTTGATGTTCCCTTGCTCTTCGATGCATTACTCCAATCTCTGCCTCCATCCTCACACGCTGTCTTTCCTCTGCCTCTTTGTCTTGTCTCTTTCATAACCTCACTGCCATCGAGTTGATTCCGACTCAGGACGACACTCTACAGGGTTTCCGAGGCTGTAACTCTACAGGAGCCGACAGCCTCCTCTTTCTCCCACCAAGTGGTTGGTGGGTGTCAACTGCCGCCCTTGTGGTTTGCAGGGCAGTGCTTATTCCACTGCGCCACCAGAACTCCTCTTTTATAAAGGCCCCACTCCTACAGGATTAATACGTCTTGGTGGTTCAATGGCTGCTAACCGAAAGGTGGGTGGCTCAGCCCCATCAGTCACTCTGTAGGAGTAGAGGCCCGACAGTCTGCTTCTGCATAGATTGTTGTTGTTGTTGTTGTTGTTGTTGCTGTTACGTGCCATCGAGTCAGTACCGATTCATAGTGACCTTATGCACAGCAGAACGAAACACTGCCCGGTCCTGGGCCAACCTCACTACTGTTGCCACGCTTGAACCCATTGATGCTGCCACTTGGCCAATTCATCTTGCTGGGGGTCTTCCTCTTTTTCTCTGACCCTCCACCTTAGCAAACATGATATCCTTCTCTAGCGACTAGTCCCTCCTGACAATATGTCTGAAGTATGAGAGATGAAGTTTGGCCATTCTGGCCTCCAAGGAGAACTCTGGCTGCACTTCTTCCAAAATGGATCTGTTTGGGTTAAAATGGTTGCGCTGTGGGTTAATGCACTAAACTGCAAAGTCGGTTTGAACCACAAGGTTAGAGGTTCAAGGTCACCAGTCACTCCTTGGAAACCCTATACATGGTCGCTATGGGTCAGAACCAACTTGACAACACTTAACATCTGTAGAGATTACAGCCTAGGAAACCATACAGAGAAGCTCTACTCTCTCATGTTGTTGTTGTTGTTAAGTGCCGTGGAGTCAGTTCCGAAGGTTCTGGATAGAATAGTAAACTGAAAACCATAAAAAAGTGTGAACTCCTGAGTCCATGGGCACTGACCTAACCCCTGGGGGCTGTGATGAAGGGGTCAGCTGGTCTGAAGTGCAGGGAGGTGTGCATGGACTCCTAAACTTGCAGCTAGTAAGCTGGTACCCATTTGACCTAAGTTTGGATGGCTGGGGCTGAGATGATGAGAACCCAACCAGATTAAGATAAAGACGTTTGATACTATGAGCAAGTGTGGTGGTGGTTATGTGCCGTGGAGTTGGAACCGACTCATAATGACCCTGTACAGGGTTTCTGAGGCTGTAAATCTTTATGGGAGCAGAAAGCCTCATCTTCTGTGGAACAACTGGTAGTTTCAAACTGCTGACCTTGCGGTTTGCAGCCGGATTCGTAACCACTACGCTACCAGAGCTCCTTATGAGCAGGTGTAAGTTGCTACAATTTAATGGACTTTTGCTTACCGATATAGTTTGGAATGGAAGATTCTTCAGATCAAGGAACATGCTTGTCTCTTTGATGCCTGTTCTGTACCAGGTTGACAGGACGGGCAACTTAGATATTGACTATCAAAAAACCAGGGGCTATAAAGGCATGAATTTGCTGACTTACAAGCTTTCATGAGTACGTTTAGTTTCAGAATTAGGGGTGTAAGGTAGAATTCCTACTCAACAGTTTTCCTCTTTTCCACATGGGTCTGGTGAGAGGGGATGGGAGAGGATGTTGACAGGATTTTATGATTCAACTGCGAGTAACTGTTAGCAGATTCATTGTGATTATCAAAATTGACATTGTAGATGTGTAACTAAAAGGGGGAGGGTCAGAGAAAAAAAAACCCAACGAGATGTATTGGCCAAGTGGCAGCATTGATGGTCTCAAGCGTGACAACAGTAGTGAGGTTGGCCCAGGATCAGGCAGTGTTTCGTTCTGCTGTGCATAAGGTCACTATGGATTGGTACCGACTCGATGGCACCTAACAACAACAACTAACTAAAAGGGAGCGAGTAGTTCATCTTTCATTTCAGGAACAGACAATCCCAGGACCACGAAGGAAGAAGAGCATAAGTGAAGCGTGAGATCCTACCTAGAAAAGCCACCAC